CATTTATCTCTCATAGGAGAGACATAAGGGTACAAATCTAGATCAGCCATACTTTCACGAAAACATGTTGCGATTGTAATGCACTCTTTAAAAAATGTATTTGTAGTTGGTTGGTAAACATGGGAAAAAGTAAGAGTTGCGTTATTAAAAACTTCTAATACGGCATTCAATTTTTCAACAATAACAAATTCAAAAGGATTAATGATTATACGAAATTCATCCCTAAAAAATTCAGCAAGTTCCTCTTTATATCTTAGGATCTGTGCAATCAATTTGTAAGTACTATTCCATCTAATGTTGATATCTCTGGCAAAACTTATTTCTTTTTTACCCTTAGACTTACAGAACATCTTCCAGGATCTCGAAATAAGACGAGCCCCCCAAATTTTTTTAATTCCTTCTTTAATATTTATCAAAACTCCGCCCATAGCTTGTAGTCCCTGTTGAACACATAAATTTAAAACATGACAGGCACACCGTTGATGCAGAAATCTACCCATAGTCGTAGACGGTGGGCAAATTTCTCTAAGTCTAGGAATAGCAGCAGTATTATTAGTAGCATTATCAAAACCAAATGAAAAAACTTTTTCAGATAAGTTATATTCCCGCAGAATACTCTGAAGCAATAGGAAAATATTTTCAGCAGTATGCTGATCATTGAAATCACGAAATGCAAGAACACGTTTATGCATAATCCAATCACTATCTATCCAATGGCAAGTAACACCCATATAAGACAAATTATGATAAGCTTCACCCCAAATATCAGAACAAATAGCAACACGAGAATTAAAATTGAGAAAAAAATTTGCCAAATTAATTTTTCGTTTAATTGTTTTTCTTGAAAAACCTCGTGCTTGAGGGTTTAATGCATGTTGACAATAATCAATAAAACCAAGTTTTTCAGAAAACATGTATGACAAATTTTCTTCACAAATCATTTCGGCCATTTTTTGCCTATTTTGCTCGTCGCTATAAGCAAAAAGGCCGCCCTTACCTCTGTTAGCAAACCGAGAAATTTGGGTTTGCACTTCTTGTCGTCCCTTTTTTTTGGCCTCGTATTTGGCGTACTCCACGGGATGCCTCGACCTTAGGTGTTTTTCCGGACCGCCATAACTGCCGGAAACTCCCATTTTTATGACGGTCCCGCAATGTTTACAAGTTCCATAAACTATGTCATCTTTTGTGTCTTTGTCAAAATGATAAACAAATAATTCTGATTTATATTTTTTCTTACCTTTGTCCGGACCTCGAGAGGTCTCGGGCTCACATGCCTCCGCGTCGACGTCGTTGCTTTGCGGTGTAGGCTCATCGTCCCCGTCAAGATTATCCAGTCCTGCTTCATCAACATCCTCGAATAGACTATCAAGAGTGGGGAGATTCGCGTCTCCTCTACCAGAATAAATCTGGTTGAATTCTTCATCCGTCATAGCATCCCCGATTAAATGATCTGGGACAGTAGGAAACGAAGAGACGGAGTGTCTTCCTCGAGAACCGTGTCCGCGTGAGGTCGAACCGTCGGAGGTGGCTTTAGCTTTGCCTTTACTCAATCTTCGGTTGACGTCGCCCATATCCACGGACCGTCTACCGGACTCCCTCGACATTTTAATATATATTTTTTTGATATTAAAATATTATATTACTTTTGCAAAAATTAAAAAAATTTCGAAATTTTATATATTAAAATTT